GAGGTCTTATTCACATGTGCATGTAGTAGATTATTAAGTAATACTCTGTTGAATGTGTGGATGGACTCTGTTAAAATATATTGTTTATGGTGATGCCAGGTAAATAGTTCTGCATGATATTTGCCCTGTGACAGCCAATTGACACATAGAATCAAACATAGGATTGTAGAGTTGCAAGGGACACCAAGGGTCATGTAGTCCAACCTCCTGCAATGTAGGAATCTCAACTAAAGCATCCATGACAGATGGCCAACCAACCACTGCTTAAAAGCCTCCCAAGAAGAAGAGTCCATCACCTTCCAAGGGGGCTGTTGAATAGCTCTTACATAAGAAAGTTCTTCCTGATGTTTAGTCAGAGTAGTCTTTCTTGTAACTTGAAGCCATTGGTTCAGGTCTTAGCATCCAGAGCAGGTGAAAGCAAGGTTGCTCGATCCTCCTTTAGATGTTTCAAGATGGCTATCATATCTCCTCTCAGTGTCCTCCTCTCCAGGCTAAACATATCCAATGCCCTCAACCATTCCTCATCAGGCTTGGTTTCCAGACCCTTGATCATCTTGGTTGCCCTCCTCTGCACATGTTCCAGCTTGTTGATATCCTACTTAAACTGTGGTGCCCAGAACTGGACACAATATTCCGGTCTGACCAAGGCAGAATAGAGTGGTACTATTATTTCCCTTGATCTGATCATCATACTTCTGTTGATGCAGCCTAGAATAGCATTAGGTATTTTTGTTTGTTTGTTTGTTTGTTTGCTACTGCATCTCACTGTTGCTAGGCTTGCCATAAATATGGGAAAACCCTGACATGTCCTTTGAAGGGGAGGCAACATGCCTATCGGGGTGGATTTTTACATTTTAAATGAATGTCCAGTTTTTTGTGGGGGAGCGGGTTGGGCTCGGGTGGCTTGAACTAGGGCTACTCTGCACATAGCAGCTGCTGCCAGCCTGAGCCAGGGAAAGAGTCACATGGGTGCTTTGCATGCAGTGACCGCTGCCAACCCAAGGTGGGGAAAGAGGCATGCGGGCTGGCAGTGGCTCGGGCTGTCCTCTTTTTTGCTCTTTAACATATGGCAACCGTACTGTTGACTCAAGTTAAGCTTGTGGTCTACTCAGACCACTAGATCCTTTTCACATGTACTACTGGCAAGCCAAGTGTCCCCATCTTATATTTGTGCAGCTAGTTCTTCCTGCCCAAGTGGAGAACCTTACATTTGTTGCTATTTAAAATCATTTTGTTAGCTGCAGCCCTGTTCTCCAATCTGTTAAGGGCATCTTGAATTCCAAAGCTGTGTGTATACTTGAGACAGCCATTGCATGTGCATATATGACATCTTCATGAACAGGAGTTTGCAGAGTGTGCAAGGACAGGAAAACAAACTAGTAATTCACGTTGGGGGAAGACATATGTTGTGTACAGCAGTGTACAAATGTGACTTGAAAAGCAGTGGTAGGAAATGATGCTGCATTTTAAGCTGCTAATATGTCAGTAGCCTTAAGTTGGGGCAACTAGACATTAGGGCCAAAGGCTTAATGGAAAAGGTGGATTACAGGAAGGTCCTCTGGAAGGCAATTCCAAACATACAGGGCAGCAAGCAAGAAAGGACAGTCTTTTTGAGAAACCAGGAAATATAGCTGAAAGAGTATAGCTGAATGGCAAGCATTATTAGGATACAAGAGTAGAAAGATTGCTTGCGGTGGCAGGGTGTGTGTGCTTGTGCCGGAAGGAAAGTGTGTCATGTGACCAGAGTGACAAGTGAGGTTAGGGATTTTGGCAGCAAAGTGCTAGATAAATGAGAAAATACTAAGGTGAAATACTGGTAGACCAGAGAGCATAAGTTTGCGTGTGTAGTTTGTGTTAGAAATGACCAGAATCTGGGTCAGAATTCTGGATGAAGCTTTTTGCCATATGTATGGAGTGGATCTGACTTTTAAAGCAAACTCATCTGGTTCTTTTGAGATTTTGACAGTGTAACATAGCAAACATTAAGTTGCAATAACAACCATTTTAGTCCTTTATTAATGCTGTATCTTTCCCAGATGTAAGCATAACATCCCTTCTTCTCCCAGATCACTGTAGGGAAAATAAAGTGGCTTCTTACGATAAGGAAATTGGCCTTCACTGCTATATAGTGAAGCATAGCTACATTTTCAACATTAACTAGAATATGTTCAGTCTCTGGTGAGACACGAGGTATTTTCTCCCCTACGCATAGTCATATCACAAACTCATTCAAATCTGGAAGCTGCTTTGTATTGTTTGGTTACAGGCTTAGGCTTTTACTTTTAGTGATTTAGATGTCAAAGTATTTTTAGATGCAATCCATAAGGCATTCATCATTGGGTAATTATAGCCTTGCTGATTGACAAGCGGTGTTGTGTTCAATGAAAGCCATGTTTCAGTGTACTGATCCTAGCTTTAGTCTTGAAGATTGACTGCTCAGTTCTAAATTCTCATGAGAAAGAATAAGTTAAAATGGTTTCATAGACTATGGTGTAGCAGGCGGTATCTTTTAAAACATCTAAAGGGTTGTTTATCTCTAAACTTCAGTGATTTCTGTTGCATTCCCCCGGCCTGTATAATAATTTAATTTAATCATTCAGACTCTGATCTTTAAGCAGTTTCAGCATCACAACCTCCTACTCATTTCATTGACCCATTTGGATTGAGCTTTCTGTTGTCTCTTGGTTTAAGGCTGATCATCCTTTAAAATGCCTGTCCTTTATCTTACAGCAGTTATTTATCTTAATATTGAGCAAAGTCAACAAGATGTGCATAGGAATTCTAGAGTGACTTCTGCGTCTTTCACTCAGTCAAGGCACCAGGAGCCCCAATCTGTCTGTTCTAGATCAGCCATCCCCAACCTGATTTTCTCCAGATGTTTTGGCTTCCCAATTCCTATCAGCCCCAACCAGGATAGCCAGGTGTGAAGGATGATGGGAGTTGTAGCCCATAAGCATCTCTTGGGTAAAGGCTTTTCTAGATAACACAGTTACAAGGCTCAGTATCTGATCTTCACCTGAGCTGAACTTGCACATTCCCCCCTCCTTTCCCTCTCCTTCCTATTTTCTGGGGTGTGTGGTGGAGACTAGCTGCCATTCTCCTTGCCTTAGCTTGCACAGTCAATGGATTCACTTGTGGGGTTGGTACGGATGGTATGTCTGCTTTTGTCTTTCCATGAGCACCAAAAGAAGCACACAAACAAGTGAATTTTAGAATGCAACCTTTGTAGAAACTCTTTTACAAAATAGCACTATATTCCTATTTAATGCAATGTGTAATGCACTAAAAGCACTTATTCATATACAGGGAACACATATTCTTACTAGCTAGAATTGAGAACCATGTAAACTATGCAGGATTTTAGATGACATGAGTCGGTGATGCCATATAAAGACATTTCCAACACACAGTTGACAGCTTTTGTAGCAATGTCATGGAACCTGTCTCAATTCTTCATCCATAAGGAGATGAATAATGTAGCTGGTAGAGGGATTCCCTTACAGGCAACCACGGCCAGGGGTAGAATATATGGTTATATAAGCTACTTCACGCAATGCTGCATCCATAATCTATCTATAATCGATCAATCAACCTTTAAACTCTCTTATTTACTCAGTTTAGTATAGTGCATGAATGCATTTTAGTATAATGCATGCATTGGGCGCAAAGTATCTGCTAATGGAGTGTTGAAAAGCTTAGGCTGCAGTCCTGTAACACTTAGTTGGGAGTATGTCCCATTGGGATTTTCTGAGTAGGATTTCACTATTAATTTGATATTGTTATAGCTGCCCTAGTAAATCTCCTTCCACCCTCACCTCACTGAAAGTAAAATAGCAAGAACATCATCATTTAAAACTCATTTTCCTTCATGCTTTCCCCCCTTTTACATTTACATATATTGCTTGCATTGTGGTACTGTGACTGCTATAAGAATTACACCTACTGTTAAAATTTATTACCTTTTTATCTGAAAAGTTCTATATCGTTAAAATGAAGGAAAAGATCAAAATTAATTCTGCTTTCCTTACAAGGATTTCTCATTCTCATTTATTTGAAAGAATTTTTATTTATTTTTTAATGGTAGAGATCAACTTAAAATAATTTCTACAATCAAATATAAAATGGGGAGTCTCTCTTTATTTTAATCCAGCAACCACAGAACAGGAAGAAGAGGGAGACTGGGTACAAAAGGTCTAGCTGGGCCACAGCTAGAGATCAATCAAACAGCTTATAGCAGCTGTATCACATCCATTCTGTCATGCTCATGATATTAGGTGTTGTCCTTGAAAGGCTGTTCCAGACCTCACAGCGTAGAGCAGGAGGGTTTGTTTATTGCATAAACATCTCAAAAAAAAAAGTCAAAATGAGAGAAGCATAATAAGAAGAGAGACACAGCTAATGATCAAATATTTAAACAAGCTCAATGAGTCTCTAGTGAAAAGTCCAAATGTCAGTTTGCCAACTGGTGCACCTTGAGGGGAACAGCATACTTAAGGAATGATACAGCTATGAATACATTAGTGCTGTGCCAAAAACGGTCTTCCAGTTTCTTGAAAGTTTTATTCCCCTGTGAACATAGGGCGTAGCTAGGATTTATTTTAGGGGGGCAGGCTTTATGTTGGGGGTCAGAATTGAGTTATTTGCAACACAGTTGGTCAGTTAGTTAAGTATTTTTATTTATGCTCCTCCCCTGGCTATGCCCATCCCTTTGAAAGAGCTCCCCCCCCCCATTCTCATGGCTTTATAATTTTGTTGGGTGGTCCTTAGTTTACTTTCACATTGCAAAGATGGTGTGCGTGTGCCCCAATGAAACATTTATTCAGTGCTCTGACTACCTGCACTTCCTGACTGAGAATGCTCCATGTGGAGACTTAGAAAGGAACATAGGAAGCGGCCATTGTATATTGAGTCAGACCATTGGTCCATCTAGCTCAGTATTGTCCCCTCTGATTGGCAGTGGCTCTCCAAGGATTCCATCAGGGTTGTTGCCAGGCCCTACCAGGAGATGCCAGGAATTGAACCTGGGACCTTCTGCATGCAAGGCAGATGTTCTACCACTGCCCTTACCTCATTACATCTTACTCTGGGCTTTGGTTGAAGCATAGGCACCCAGGCAGACTTTGGAGCACAGGCCACTAGAGTTATGATATATAGACTCACGGAAACACCCTTGAAAGCCCCAATCAGCAATCCAGCTGACTGCAGCTCTTTGAGCCACTTGAAGTTTCTGAGTCCTTTTCAAAGGCAGCCCCACATAAAGATGGCTACAGTAATCCAAACAAGAGTGTGTCCTTTTGGCCAAACCATCTAATGGAATGGGTGCAGCTGGCGAACTAGCGTTAACTGTGCAAATGCACTCCTGGCTACTGCAGAGACATGGGCATGCATCATAAAATCATAGAATTGTAGAGTTGGAAGGGATCCCAGGGATTATCTAGTCCAGTCTCCTGCAGTGCAGGAATCCAAACTAAAGCATCCATGACAGATAGCCATCCAACTTCTGCTTATAAACCTCCAAAGAACCTCCAAGTCCACAGCCTCCCAATGGGGACTCAGGGATGAGTCCAGGAGCATGCTGTGTCTTCAAGTGGTAGTGTTATCCCTCTTCCCTGTTCTGCCTTCCAGCTGACCTGGAGTGCCATATCTGTCCTATAACCAGGACTGAAACCAGACTGAAACCTAGTTCATCAGTCTCCTTCAGAAACACCAAACCCTCCAGCACCTTGCACAAAAATGGGATATTGGAGACTGGGTGATAATTATCCAATATGGTGGGATTCAGGGAGGGCTTCTTCAATAGAAGTCTTATAACTGCTTCCTTAAGGCACATTAGAAGGAATAATTATGGTTGTGCTTACCCAGAATTAGTGCCCGAACTAGACGTTTTGCCAATGTTTTATGGCAGTGCTGATGGAGATGATAGAAATGGAAAAATTGTGAGCCATTGAACAGTGAGAGTCTTCTCCTGAGCCGATGTCAGTAAATAATAATATATTCAATGCTAAAGAGAGCATTTTCAAAGACAGATGGCACTCATATATATGCACCCCTTGAAAGGAAACCACTTATGATTTAATCAGGTTTCAGTGTTTTACTTTAAATGTAGGAAACATAAATTAAACACAGTCTGCATCTCATGCTTCATTTGTCAGCCCCGACAACACATATATAATACATTAAAGACCAAATAATTGTTTGCAGCATGCAATTAGAAGGTGGAATTTAAAGAGGTTTCAAGTAAGCCCAGAAAGTGTATGTCAAGGGACCAGGGTTTAGATTGAGTTGGAGTGTGAGCCAGGCACAGGTTCCAGGGATGCAAGACCATATACTCCTAGTTCCAGTTCATGATCCTGCAAATAAAAGCAGGTCAAACATAAGTTAAATTTCAGCTAGGTAGATTCAGATTAAGTTAAGTCAGGTAAAACAGGTAAAAAATCAAAAAGGCAAACAGTGCACCCTGCCAATTTAATTTAAGAAACTTGGTGGGCTATCCTATCAACCCCGCGTGTGGCTGAAGCCAAAGCAAATGGCCAGTCGCAAAGGACGAAAGCGTCACACCCTCTCCCTGTCCCCGAGGAGCTGTGCCAGGCTGCAACCACAGCTTCCTTAAAAGGTAAACGGTTTTTCCATCCAACTCAAATGATGCTTGCTCATTTGTACGTTAAGTGAAAGTGTATTTCTATACGAAACACAGAAAGGGTTTAGGTGATTAGAATAACTGAAAGCAAACATTTTTAGGTACTTAAAATTTTGTTCCATTGTTAGGCAGCAGTAGAAGAGCATTTCTGTATACAGTACTTAGGCTGCCATCTGGGAACTTTATTTCTGCGAACAGCAGAAATTAGTCCACCTCATGCTTTCTCCTACATCTACTATGTTGCTTAGTGTGCATTTCAGTGTGGAGTAGGGATGGTGGAGGGTTCTGATTACTGTCTGGTTTAAATAAATTATCTAGACTGCTGGCAGAGAAAGGGGGGTGCGGGCCGGCCTGGGTGTCATCCCTGAGGGGGGGTGACATCACTGCCCTGCCCCCCTGGGACGCTCACCGCGGGTAGCTAGCCCCACATGCACAGCACATGCGCCGCTCCGGGTGCCGGAGCAGCTAGCTCCGCCTCTGGTCTAGACTAAACCATAAGATACAATTCTCACTATACTTACTTTCCCACCAATACAGCACTGTAAGTGCAGGGTGTCATTTATTAATTTTTTTATTACATGAAAAATAAGAGTGAATGTTTTCACAGAGAATGAGTTTTAGTGATCAAAATGTAATGCGCAGTTCAGGAAACTATGTATCAAATCTCTCTTAGCAATTTGCAACCCAGAATTGTGCTGCAAACTAAGGCTTACATCTGGTTTAAACTTGTTCTTTTGATATTTAAAATTGGCTCTGCTATTTTGACCTCATTCTCTGTATGCAGACTTCTTTTTCACTGTAATTCTACATCTTAAATCATAAAAGATTTGTGTTGAAGACAGATGCAGTATGAATATGTCAGTGTGAATAGGTTGCCAGTTCCCCTTTTATATTAAAACCTCTTAATTTGACCAGATCAGTTGCTAATATGGCATTCCTGCTACTCTGGGCTCAATAGCCACTGTTTTCTTTGCTCCATATACTCTGGCTAGAAAACAAAGTGCTCCCCAGTGGGATGGGTGCCTGCAACAATCAGGAACCTGGCTGCAGGCCACTTTTTTGCCCAGCCAAAGAAGGACAAGGCATCAGTAGTAGTATATAAAACAATGATGACTGCTTCGAGTTCTCTTTTTATGTTCAGCTATCAGTTATTTGGCCTGCGAATGAAAGGCCTGAATCATACATTTGCAGTGGAATAGCTGCACGAAGAAGGAAGTACAGTGGTACCTCGGGTTACATACGCTTCAGGTTACATACGCTTCAGGTTACAGACTCCGCTAACCCAGAAATAGTACCTCGGGTTAAGAACTTGGCTTCAGGATGAGAACAGAAATCGTGCTCTGGCGGCACGGCAGCAGCGGAAGGCCCCAATAGCTAAAGTGGTGCTTCAGGTTAAGAACAGTTTCAGGTTAAGAATGGACCTCCGGAACGAATTAAGTACATAACCCGAGGTACCACTGTACTTGAGTGTAGTTCAACATGGAGCCCTGAATGATGGTGTAAATTAGCTCTCTGTATGGTTGTGGAAGTTTCAAGCATGCTATCAATATCCATATTTGCCCTGAGGAATACTGGAGTATCTGAAATCTGTTTTCTGTAATTCATGCCCTCCCCTTTTGGGGGGGGGAGTGTAAGTCATTTGGGGTCTCCTACTCTTGGTAAGCCTGTATATTACCCACAAAGTATTTTCAGGAAGCTTAGCAAAGTAACATAATGACATATTTTTACCAGAGTTGTATTTTTTTTCTTCTTCAACCAGCTCAAATTATTATTATGACATTTAAATTGCTCTGGGCTGGAACTTGGCAGATGTAGTTGTGAGCCCAGGACCAATTTACTTTTCCAGTTTTTACACAAATTGGTTTGGATGTTTTTGTTAAACCAAGCACAGAATCTTTTGCATGTGTTTGTTTTAGCCTCAGTATGGTATCAGGTTATTAAAACTGCTCTTCAAAATGAAGCAATGATATATTGTGCATCACCAGTAGCTCCGATTCAGAAATATATAAAAATAACTTGACAGAGATCCTTGTGTCCCCCCGCCCCCTCAATACTGTTTCATTGTTATCATTCTAGACTATGCAAGTGATTTGCTGTGATGGAAATAACAATAAGAAATTTATTATGCTACAAAATATCCATCAAAGTTGTGAATGATAAGAGGAACTTTACAACTGGGATTTACAGTTTTTCAAAGCAACTACTTCAATTCTTGCGGTCTCATCCAAATGTTTTTTTAAATAATTACTTTAGATAACTGTCTGCAATGAGTGTGGTCTACTTAATACACAGTCTTAGGTATAGCTATGAAGTCTCAAATCAAAACCCTTGCTCAGCTAGGAAGCTCACTGATTGTTCATGGACAAGTCACTTGTCTTTACCCTACATGTTATAGGACTTATCACAAAAAATGAGATGTAGTACAGTCGTACCTTGGTTTTCAAACAGCTTAGTTCCCGAACGTTTTGGCACCCAAACGCCGCAAACCCAGAAGTGAGCGTTTTGGTTTTCAAATAATTTTTGGAAGCTGAACATCCAGTGGGGCTTCCGCAGCTTCCGATTGGCTGCAGGAGCTTCCTGCAGCCAATCAGAAGCCGCACTTTGGTTCCCGAATGTTTTGGAAGTCAAATGGACTTCTAGAACAACTTCCGTTTGATTTCTGAGGTATGACTGTATAATTTTTTACGGATTTGTGATATTAGGGAAAAGCTCCTTTAGACAGTCAGTTCTTCTGGTGGGGGGGGGGTGTTACAAAATGCCAACAAGGTGTTGGAAGACAGAGCTAATAGTGAGGGGCAGGAGGTCACAAGTTCAGACCTACCATCAGGCAGAAATAAGGTTGCAAGGTAGGATGCTGGAAGCCAGGGCTTCCAAAGTAGCTTTTTCTTAAACAAATTTCTACTCATGGAGCAACAGGAGCCGGCTGAACCTGTCAGAACAGAGTCTCAAACAAAGATCATAGAATCATAGAATCAGAGTTGGAAGAGACCACAAGGGCCATCAAGTCCAACCCCCTGCCAAGCAGGAAACACGATCAGAGCACTCCTGACATATGGTTGTCAAGCCTCTGCTTAAAGACCTCCAAAGAAGGAGACTCCACCACACTCCTTGGCAGCAAATTCCACTGTCGAACAGCTCTTACTGTCAGGAAGTTCTTCCTAATGTTTAGGTGGAATCTTCTTTCTTGTAGTTTGGATCCATTGCTCCGTGTCCGCTTCTCTGGAGCAGCAGAAAACAACCTTTCTCCCTCCTCTATGTGACATCCTTTTATATATTTGAACATGGCTATCATATCACCCCTTAACCTCCTCTTCTCCAGGCTAAACATGCCCAGCTCTCTTAGCCGTTCCTCATAAGGCATCGTTTCCAGGCCTTTGACCATTTTGGTTGCCCTCCTCTGGACACGTTCCAGTTTGTCAATGTCCTTCTTGAA